AGTAGATGTTGTAATGTAATAGCTTTTGGAGTATTTTGAATGCAATATTGTTAGGAGTATAGTAGATGTTGTAATGTAATAGCTGTTAGAGTATTTTGAATGCAATATTGTTAGGAGTATAGTAGATGTTGTAATGTAATAGCTGTTTGAGTATTTTGAATGTAATATTGTTAGGAGTATAGTAGATGTTGTAATGTAATAGCTGTTGGAGTATTTTGAATGTAATATTGTTAGAAGTATAGTAGATGTTGTAATGTAATAGCTGTTGGAGTATTTTGAATGTAATATTGTTAGGAGTATAGTAGATGTTGTAATGTAATAGGTGTTGGAGTATTTTGAATGTAATATTGTTAGGAGTATAGTAGATGATGTTGTAATGTAATAGCTGTTGGAGTATTTTGAATGTAATATTGTTAGAAGTATAGTAGATGTTGTAATGTAATAGCTGTTGGAGTATTTTGAATGTAATATTGTTAGGAGTATAGTAGATGTTGTAATGTAATAGGTGTTGGAGTATTTTGAATGTAATATTGTTAGGAGTATAGTAGATAACAATATTGCATTCAAAATACTCCAAAAGCTATTACATTACAACATCTACTATACTCCTAACAATATTACATTCAAAATACTCCAACAGCTATTACATTACAACATCTATTATACTCCTAACAATATTACATTCAAAATACTCCAACAGCTATTACATTCAAAATACTCCAACAGCTATTACAATTCAAAGGCTATATTGGATACATTATAATATGAAAGGAGGGAAATTGTGGTTTAGATAATATCCTATTTAATTTATCACGAATAAATAATAATAACAACTCAAGTTATCTTTTATATTTAAACAGAATAAAACTGAAAAAAGTTATGTAAACATAGCATTCTTTCATCAGTGTAATTATGAAAAACAAATTAAGGCAGGTTAGACAAATACCTGTACTGTTGTTAAAGATGAAGATGATTTTTTCTTTCTAATTTTCCCCGTTGGCATTCCAAAACTTGAAGCCCTTTTGAAGGCAGACATAGACGTTTCCATTGAGGAACTACTTCCTCCAAGAGAGTTCAAAGTCCACTTTCTCCCTCCAAAAACCTAACAAAAGAAAAGTCTCCACATCATGAAACCGAAACGTAAAACTCATTTTTGGGTCGCTAAAAGAACTTATAATCATTGAAAATGTTGAGTGATATAATGAGGCTCAGAAAACCTGTAAGAAAATATATCACAATGCTATTGATATGAAACAACAAATAAACAGTGATGGTACTTTCACTGTTATATACTGGCCAAGAAATTACTGGATTAAATGAAAAGACCAAAATAAATCAAGGAAAACATATACGGTTGAAAATTTAGACAGAGAGGATTAAAAACTTCCGTAGACTGTATCTGGACGTTTTGAAAAATGTATCGAACTGTTAACACAAATATTCATTAGGCTAAATTGCCTTAAGTTGTATGCATGAATTATTCGAAAATTCGTCAAAAATGTATACGGTAGAAGCAGTCCACCGAAGTATCCGCTCATGTACAATTTGATAAAGTAAGTTTTACAGATTTGTATATAAAAAAAATATATTTATCTATCAATCCACCTGCAAATTAAATTTAACTATGAATGCTCCCACATTAATGTTCGATGCACAAAATATATATACATATATCGAAAATCTAGAAGATGCTGATCTATAATTAACAACTGAACAATATATACTAGGAGAGAGCTATAATTTATTCAATGTAAATATGATTAACTCAACTTAAAATCAAAAGTATTATTATTTATGCGTGCAAATACTTCATCAAAATGTACATAATTTATCTATTGGTTATTTTTTATACTCATATTTGGAACAAGATGATCGATTTTCACATTTGTTTTAGTTCAAATGAAGCGTGTAACAAACGGTACCGTTTTTCCAGACTATATTTTTAATGCAAATTCAGGAATTGCAAACAGTAAATTAATAATACTGATGAAATATTAATATATATTTATTAATGGATGTATCCATCCTTCAATCTCTCAGTCCATCTTTCGAATAGATCAGATTTGTTAACACAAATATAACTATTGGCAAAACTTCATTATAGTGTATGTACATTTTTGATTAAATAAAGAAACACTTATTCAACAAACTACACAAAGCCAGTCTTTGATAAACTACACATGTATTTAGGTACATCGTACTTGAGCTACTCTATAACGTTCAAACACGTCAAATTCTTTATATGTTGATATAAGTAACTAACCTGGTTCTTAGTCAACCATTACATTGTTTTATAAAATTTTACAGTCGCTGTCCAGCAGTAGTTACTAATTAAGAAGTTAAATTCTTAAAATATCTACAAATTACCTTTGAAGGATTTTGTAAATATACATAACATACAATAACTTTGATATATATATATATACACATACGAATATCTGACCCCTTTAGCATATGTCTATCTAATAACGTTTCTTTCTTTTCAGTAATTACAGCCCCCCAGTGGTTGAAAGTCATGGTGATAAACAACTTGGAAGTACTTTAAACTCTGTGTTTCGCTTCAAAGTAACGACAGAAACTAAGTTGTATGAGATTATCATATTTAGCACCGACTGAATGACCAAACGCTTGGAGTTTCAAATCACATGACTGACCACATATTCCTGATTTTCATAACAACGTACTAGTTAGTGGTTCACATTATTTTGTAACATTAGGTTTGCCTTATAAACGCTAAAAACCGAGTTTCATACCCGTGATGGGCACCACACAGAGAGCCCATTGTGTATGTTTGTGCTTAACAACAAATAAACAAAGAGAAACAGCTTTTACAAAAAAGTAAAAAGTCAATCTGATTAATCAATGTCATTAATTTACCATTACAGTCTTAGATGATAATAAATAATACAGTTTTCTAATAAATGTTACACACATATTACTTTATATATATTTAAATATTATTAAAGTTACTAAACACCTCATGAATTGTACATTGATATATGGATTTAGTATTATATTATTTGTACAACGTGTATAAAGCATAATATAGGCCCCCTCCAGTGGCACAGTGGTATATCTGCGGACTTACAACGCTAGAAACCGGGTTTCGATACCCGTGAGGGCAGAGCACAGATAGCCCGTTGTGTGGCTTTGTGCTAAATTACAAATAAACAAACAAAAAACTTTATATTTTCTGTAGTTACCTTGATAGCCTCTGGTGGTGTTGGGCCTAAACACGCTTCGCCCTCTAGAAACAGTGATAGATATTGTTCTTTTAACCAGAAAATACGACGATCGGATAGACGTTGCTGTTCCTTCAGTAGTGCTACCAGTTGCAGAAGACCCTGTTGCCAAACTCTCAACGTTAAAGCTGGAGCAATGAACTCCACGACTCTGTTGTCTGATAACCCCATTCCGAAAGTAAGGCGAAGGCAACAATTATCTCCTGGTAAGTCGTCAAGGCCATGACGACGCGAGATTGCTGTCCAGTCTGTTGATCTTTGACCCAAAGTTATCTTTTTGACGTGACTCAGTTCTAAATAACCCTCTTCCAAACCATTGAAGATAACATCCGCATATTCGTACTTTAGAACAATGCCTGGAGACACCATATCTTCTAAATTGGCACTAAGCGAACAATCGTGGCTGCTGCTGCTACGTGGAGTAGTCCAGGCCGGTTTACACCAAGACACAGTAGCATTATTTTGTTCTAGCCTTAAGAAACACACTGATGAGCGAGATCCCTCTTCATCAACGTGGATCATTGTTGTACCATGCTGCATACACTGAAGGAGATGGTGGTCCAGCCTGGATGTCCGCAGCGACACAAAACTCACTTCGTGTGCAATGCCTAAAGGTTGTATTGGTCTGTACGCAGTGAAATCCAATTCATATAGGTTTTCATCTTCTGGACCTTCTTCTCTGAAAGTAGTAAAAAAGAAACATAGAAACCTTTCAGAAATATCACACGCCATTTAGAGAAATTGAAACCAGAAACGTAAAGAACAACCGGATACAGATTCATATATTTTCAAACAAAACCTACAGTTACACTGATTATGCTAAACTACCAGTTGCAATAATTCTCACACAACTCTGACCGAAGTATCGCAATTCTCTACTGAAATAAATGTTAATGATAACTACTCTTAAAAGCAGAGTCGTACATCCTTCATTCACTCATTTATCAACTGCGAGCAAAATAGATAAAACGCTAATGAACAATGATCTAATATTATCTATCAATGTCCAAAAAAAGTAGTACATCTAAAATGATTGTTCGATCTCACTAATTACTGTATATTTCCAATTAAAATTCTAGTTTAGGCAAACCTACTTTCGCGAATTCGTGCACTTTGTTGAGTAACGAAACAGTTAATACTAAAACAATTACTAGGGCCAAAGTGTAATTCAAAAATAGAAGTAATAAGAAACACGATCACTGGAAAGTAGGTCTAACTTACAAATCAAACTTAGAAGGAATGCTAGTTCATAATTCTGTGTGTAACTCAACCTATCCTATAGATTTTAGGTTTATCTTTATGAACCTTTTGTCTGTATGCAAGGTGAAGAACGTCAATAAGAAAGCATATTGTTCTACATGTCACTGATGTCCAAAGGACATATCAATGACATCACTGCAGATGATATGCTGTGTGTGTATTGCTATGAGAAGAAACCATTTCATTGGGCGTCTGCATACAGGTTGAAATTGTGAAGTATGTATTTAACCATCCGTACACTGAATCTATGTTTAGTTGCAATTTAATTTAGTTTAATTGCTATAATTAAACAACTGCTGATTTTCGTTTAATTGTTTAGTAACGTTTAATTGTTTAGTAACGTGTATGCATACTCACATGTATATATACATCATACATTTTATGTTACTTTGATGTATTTAGCTCATTGCTTCAATTCGACCTTGACACTTGAGTTGTTTACACGTGCATGCCTATGTTCCATTTACTTATAAAAGTAGAAAATAGTTCATCCTGAGCTGTGTTAGTTATCTGTAGTCTGTTAATGGTGTATGGAGGGGTAATACCGCTAAGCACTTTAGTTTGAAATACTGCAAAATGTTTTTGATATAATAGTATTATTTGAGCTTCAACATGAATGTTTCGTTACCTGCTTACACTTACAAGTTGAATATTATTTTATCATTTTGAGGTTCGTTTTAATAACCTGCTGGGGTCAATTTTTTCTCTTTCCTCCTAAGGAACGGACTTCCCACAACTGGCTAGGTATAATGAAACGTGGCACAGGCGATTAACGTTATGGGGTTGAGCACTCACATCTGTTTTTTTTTTAGGCGTGTGAATGCAGGTTAAATTTGGTAGACGATCTATCCGTATCGCTTTATACTTCGTAGATCCTATACTTCAACAGATAATTCAAAACTCCAGGTAGATTTTTATAATTCCACACACTATAATTTGTAAGTTGTATATGACCATTGTTTGAAATGGTCTTCCTGATGGTTTTTATTACCTAGTTTTCATAGTTCACATAGCTATAAACATCATAAGTTTGGAAGTACTGATTAGATGATTATGTTAAACATTTAAATTGCTTTGGTAATACCTACAATGACCAAGAAAATGCATGATGCAAATATACCAAATTCAACGAAGATAAGCAATAATAAATATTTTACGGATCCTTAATTACGTATCGTGGTGCCATAAGCTTCTTAGAATAAAATAAAATTATCATATTTGTGTCTATTCTTATATATTATAATTTTTCTCTCCATGGACATTTTAAGATTTAGTCAAATAAAATTTGCCATTATAAACTCGACAAGAATTACATAACATTTAAATTATTTGTAAAATACTATTTCCTTGTTGATGTTTATACATTTGAACTATTTAATGATGAAGAATTATAACAGTGTGTTATCACGAATCAGCCGTGTCTTGTTTCTGTTAACTGATATTCTATTATAAGAAACTACTTAATAATGCGCTAATTTCTATTTCTTTCTGATTCTAATGTTATAAATCATATACTTAATAACCTTTATTTAGTTCTTTGCTATCAAAAAGTATCGTTTCATTTTGTATGGAAAAGCGCATTATTAAATTAATGATGTCACTGTCAGATCTAAACCAGTACTCGCTCTGACTGATTTACTTTTGTTGAGCTGTCCAGTGTTAAACTAATTATAACACATACTTGGTTGATGACACATTTCGTAATCATAGATGTTATACATTTTAATAGGTTTACCAGATGCCTGTAAAGTTGATATAATTAAACGTGTAATTATTCAGGATTATAAAAATGTGGATAGCTATACTTTGTTCATGAGAAAACATACCTCATTTTCCAATTTTATTAATAAAACAGTCATTTAATCCTTAAACAATTAAAGCTAACACTTCGTCGCCAAACATGCTCGCCCATTCAGCCGTGGGGACATTATAATATGCAGTCAATCCTTTTTTTCTTTCTTTTTTTGTAAAAGAGTAACCGCAGAGTTGGAAGTAGGTGATATTGATTAGCTGTCTTTCCTCTTGTCCAATACTGCTAAATTAGTGACGGCTAGCTCAGATAGTCCCCAAACCAAACCGATCACCGATCAGTGAGTGCACCCGAACGAAGAGTTTGCTTCACAATTCGAGGATGATGTGGTAATCTGGAAAAAACTCTCCAACTCCGGCAGTAGCAGCAACTAACTTCCAACCTCAACTTAACAGAATACATGAATAATGTCAGAAATACAGACTTAAAATAAACGTACCAAAAACACAACTACTTTTCTACATAAAATCAACCAAGATGACAAAACATCCACCAATAGTATATTTACAAGGAATACGACTCCAGAATGCCACATCAGCAAAATTCTTAGGAATCGCATATGGTTCAAAATTAAATTGGAATAAACATATAGATGACGTAACAAATCGAGCACGGAAACACGTAAATTACGTTAGGAGTCTCTCAGGACAAAACAAAGGTACATCAGCAAAAAAAATATTCTTAAAATCTATACAGCATATGTCAGACCAGCTCTTGAATGCGCATGCCGGCCTGGTACAATATATCACAAAACAAACCACACAAAACAATATTAACTACAGCATACCGCGTACCAAGAAGCACAATATCAACATTTATTCCAAAGTATTCGAACATAGAATAAATATCTGACAGACTCTAACGTAGGACAATGAAGTACGTCCATGAAAATCTCTCTAAGACCAACTTACTTAATGGAATAACAAGATACGTCATACATGATGGAATAGTACCTAAGTACCTCTCCCCCATTAAATGGCTACATTAACTACAATAAACAAGCCACCTACATCTAGTATTTACTATTATAATAATTAGATACATCATACATGATGGAATAGTACCTAAGTACCTCTCTCCATTAAATGGCTACATTAACTACAATAAATAAGCCACCTATATCTAGTATTTACAATATGTCATTATAATAAACTATTATAATAACTAGATACATCATACATGATGGAATAGTACCTAAGTACCTCTCCCCCATTAAATGGCTACATTAACTACAATAAATAAGCCACCTACATCTAATATTTACAATATGTCATTATAATAAACTATTATGAGTGTATTAAAGGGTATTTATGTAAATACACTCCTAGTAAGCTAATCTAGTGAACAGTGCGCGATTAACAATCGAACTGTTAGTGGGTGTGCAGGACAATCGCACGGACATAGCGTCAGTGAAATATTAGTCAGTACAAATGTTAACAGTGTATCATACATGAACGTGGCCTTATGGAAAGGGTCGGATGAAGTATTTCAAAAGAATTCAAACTCCGGCCTTCGTGTAAATACAATATTAACATTCACAGAAGCGAAATAACGTGAACATAAATAAACAAGATTGCACTTGACCCCTCAAAGGTCGAGACCGAAAATCGATGAGGACTTTCAGATAAATGAGTGCCTCACTACAGCCACGAAATAATCAGTACCCAGACATACCCAATCAAGAACTACACACACATGGCAACCACACACACACACACTTAAAAGCAATGATAACAGAAAAACGAAAGTTACGGAGACAATACATGCAAAATAGATATCCTAAAATTAAAACACAAATAAATAAACTCGTAAATAAAATTCGAAAAGAATCTCAAGAACTAAAACAAGATAACTTGGATCAATTTTGCTCACATTTAAACGAAACAACCGACCCAAAACAATTCTGGCACGTTTAAAACGATTCACAAATACAGGAAACTCAATCCGAAACTATCCGCCTCTAGAAGCAAATAACACTTTGGCACACACAAACTTTGAAAAGGCTGAAACATTTAAAGAACGTCTACAACACATGTTTCGGACACACCATGAACAAGACATGAATGCAAATTCTTTAATGAGGTGAATAATTATGTAATACAAAACATAAATTTGTACACACCACAATTCCTTGCTAACATACACAATGATCAAACAAATGACGATACAAACGAAAATTCAACAATATATCAGATGACAAAAAACCAAAACGGAAATAGAAGTTAAACAAGCAATTAAACCAACAACAACAACAAAAGAAAAAGATCCAGGAGAAGATGGCATTCAGACTATCTTCCTCAAAAACGGCACTCAGGGATTGTTTGAACACCTGACAGCCTTTTTTAACCTTTCATTAAACTCTGGATACATCCCGGTTTCTTGGAAGCAAGCGATTGTACTAATGTTCCACAAAGAAGGAAAGACAGCGAATAAACCAAACAGCTACCACCAGATCAGGATGACCAGCTGTGTAAGAAAATTTCTAGAGAGAAAATAATGAGAAATCGACTGTCCACATTCCTGGAGATCACTTCAAAACCACCAGAAATCCAAACTGGATTTAGATAATTTAGACAGACTACAAACCACTTAGTTCGACTAACAGAATCAATCATAGATAGTGTTAATAAGAAAGAATGCACTGTCGCATGTTTTCTTGATATAGAAAAGGCATTCGACAAGGTATGGCGTAATAGTCTAAGGTTCCGTATGTCAGAAATGGCACTGCCGCGCGGTGTTATTCGCTAACTACCAAACTTTCTGGAGAGCAGAAAATGTAAAATAAATGTAGGGGGAATGTTCTTAGAGCTATTTACTTCAGAGGCAAGTGTCCTTCAAGGAGAGGTAGTTAGCCCTATCTTATTCATCATGTATGTAAGCAATATGCCCCTTAAGGATCCAAATCTAGGTTTTTCTTCACAATTTGCTGACGATGTTGCAGCCTGGAAAAGTGCTCCTACTCCTTCAATAACAACAACAAACTTGCAAATACAATTAAATAATATCGTAGAGTATTTCCAAAAATACCTTATCAAAATGGATGTCCCCAAAAAGCAATTGGTAGTATTCACAAAACTAAAAAAACTCAAAAAAGACCCACCCAAACTATATATGAATGGAACACTCTCCAGATCACAACAATAGCCAAATTTCTAGGATTAACCTACGATTAATGTGGGTTAGACACATAAACAATATTCTAAAAAAGAAAAGTTTGGCAACATAAGAATTATGCCAGGAGTCTAACGGACAAAAACAACGGAACTTCAGTTGGTAACATGGCCAAAACCTTCAAAACATACATACGTCCAGTAATTGAATATGCATGTCCGGCATGGATAAACATAGCTACAAACAATACAAAATTCATTACATACTACAGCGTACAAACTATCCAGATCCACCTCATCAAACTTTATGTACAATTATATAAAATATATAAACTATCTCTCATAGACTCTTACATAATTCGCTGAATTATTTCGATAAAACTTGGCACAAAAATGACCTACTGTGTGAGTTAGATCGCTACAGCATACATGATGACGATAGCCCTAAGTACCTCTCGCCAATTAATGTGTATATTAAAAATAAGAATTTGATAAGGCCACCTTACGCTAGACTAAAAAACCCACATTAGTTTTAAGTTGATATGACAGCATTCATGGGGTATTTTATGTAAATGCTCTCGATGAGTGTTAAAACCAATGTAATTGATAAATACACGTGGAACTGTTCACCATGTGCAAGACTTTGCAGCATCGAATAAAGAGAAAATGTATTTATTCACAAGAATATAAATCTAAGTATCTATATGAACATTGCCCTGAAAGGGGTCAGGGTAAGTGCGAGATACTCTGACCTTTTGTGGTATTGAAATTCATGTTATCCTGAAAACATTTCCATCTATCTAAACACCGATAGTGAGAAAACATGGGGAAACAAATGATAAGCGACCTAATGAACTGAATAATCAATGTAAAAATGAAGTAACAGAAACTTTTCCTTTAAGCGGGTCCTGATTTTAATAATTACAGCGTTTCGACTCATAGAATCGAAACTTCAACAGGTGAGAGTTACATTCATAATGTCTAGATGCTATGAATCGAAACGCTATAATTATTAAAATAAGGACTTGCTTACTTTCACGTTCTCGTTTAAATTTGTATTTATGTGACCTGTCTTACTTTTAGTCATATATATCAAGTTAGTTATCCTAATAATTAATAACTTCGATCACTCGATCTCATGAGCACTGTCGAACATCTTAAGATGAATTTACCATTGTCTCTTTAACCTCCGTGTATAACTGTGTAATTAAACCCTTCTTCTTAATCCTTATAAAATTACTAACATTGCTACACTTACTTTCGTTTTACACTTACTTACTTTGCATTTGTAGTAGATTGAGATTGTGTCTGATTTCTTTGCTCACTATGCTGGTGAAACATCCTAATTTCTTCCAGAACTTCCTGCACTTTTCGAACTTTGTCCATGTTTATCACTCCGGCGACTCCAGTGTTCGTAGTGAAGTGATCTTCCACTTGAAAGTCCGTTAAAAACTAAAGTTCATAAGAAGAGTTCATGTCATAAGCTTCACTAAATCTACAGTCATGGACACTTTATTTGTTTATTTATTTACTTGTCTTATTTCTCAAGAAAACGAAACACTGCGGGGTACGATTTTACGCTATACTACGTTTGTACTATCTGAATTTCTTGACTGTACTTGTGATATTTAATTTAATCAAAATCGGATGTTTCGTGAGTGTATTTACTTTAGTCATTACTTAGACGTTTCATGTATATACATTTACGTTAATGATCAATCACCCGTTTCGCTTGTGTAATTATGTTTGTGGATATTCAAACGTATTTCAAATATATTTGCATAGACGAACACTTTAGCGTTTCAGCAGTATGCTTACGTTTGCGGGTACTGAAGTATATTTCATATATAATTAAGTAAGAGAATATTCCGACGTTTCATAGGTATGGTTACTTTCACAAGAATGTTATAAGGCTTACAGGTTAGTAAAATAAATTAACATTTCAACACTTCCCATCAATTTTCTATTTTTACTTTTGCTTTTGTTCCTTATTAATGTTGATATATTTAAATAGATTGGGGTCCGGCGTTGTTTAGTGGTTATTGTGACGGACTGTGAGCCCAAAGTTCGCGTCCCATAAATGCAAAATCTCAATCCGCACTTTATAGCCGTGAGTGCGTTATGAGAGTGACAGTTAAATTCCACTATTCGATTAAAGCAATCAAGTTGGCGGGCAGTACTGCTTAATAGCTCCCTTATCTCTTTTCTATCATTTCAAGTTTAGGAACTTCTAGCACATATAGCCTCTGTTAATTTGCACGAATATCAGAAACAGACAAACAAACAAACAATAAGTAGGTTCAGGTACCACTACAAAAAAATATCTTGTTTGAAGATATAGTTTCATTTTGAACAGTTTGTAATTAAAGTTCACGTGATGATATTTGTTTGTCTGTTTTTAAGCGCAAAGCAGCTCAAGGAGCTATCTACGCTTTGCTCACCGAAGAGATCTAACCCCACATTTTAGCGTTATAACTATCAAGCTTACCGCTGAGTCACCGGAGGCTCATGTAATGATGTTTAAATGTATTTATCAGAGAAAAGAAGAAAATATAACTTTTTATAAAATAATATTTTTGTACAGTTTTTCACATTTCTTGGCTCTTGGCTCTCTGACCTTTACATTTATTCTTGTTTTGAAACAATGCTATAATACAGATAATGAAATAATGCATTCACCGTTTTGACCAAATGAACTTATTGGTCCCGATGACGGTCGTTTGGCCGAAACGCTGTTCACAAATTAATTTTTCCTTACGCCGATTTTAACCAATTTTTCTGGCTTTATTACAGTGCATGAAATCAGTCGAATGAACGAATAAGATAAAAACCTTGTAACAAGATAAACTTAGTTAACATAAGCAGTTGTAGATATGTGAATTCGGACTCAGTTGCGTGTTCAATAAAATGAATGCCAAGTGTACACAGATATGACGTTCTAAGCTGAACAGCTCGTGTCGGATTTAAATGTATTGTGGATTATGTCAAGTTTACTTGTCAGGCTTTTCTAAGAATTCATTATTATGCAAATGTAGAATACGCATGCTCTGGAATAATGACTCAATCATCTATATAAAAACAGGAAGTATTACTTGGATTATTGATCGTTAGAATTTGTTTTATGATAGGGCAGCAACTTTGTCTCGCATAAGTGCCGTTTTAACTCTAATAAACTCAGCATAACAAATTATGTATTAAGGACTTCTAGAAATATCATCCCTTTTTTCATAAATTAGGATTTAATAGATATACTTATTAGTTAGAGGTATAAGTGCGTGTGATATTTTAAATCATATAACACTTAAATTCTAGCACATTAGCAATGTTCGTGTTCATGTTACACATTAACAGACATTCATGAATTTCAGACACAATGTTCCTGTGTACAAAAAACTCACTGACCTTGAGTGGTTGATCCTTGTCAGGTGGCAACACCACCAGGTTTGGTAACTCTTTTGATACCTCTTTTAGATGACGTAAGAAACTCCCGAAAAATGGCACTACTTTACATTGCGGAATGTTTAAAGCCCGATTTACAGCTTCTTTATATTCTAACGAGGGTATAGGGTTTAAAAGCACGCCGTTCAACATTTCTAGCACTTTGGAATGTTCTTTTTCCGGTAAGGATGACCAAAATGGTTTGAGTTTTTCTGATCTGTATAACACAAAATGATACGTATAATACGCTGTAAGAATATTTCATTATTTTTAATTGAATATGCATGTCCGGCATAGATAAACATAGCTACAAACAATACAAAATTCATTACACACTACAGCGTACAAACTATCCAGATCCACCTCATCAAACTTTATGTACAATTATACAAAATATATAAACTATCTCTCATAGACTCTTACATAATTCGCTGAATTATTTCGATAAAACTTGGCACAAAAATGACCTACTGTGTGAGTTAGATCGCTACTGCATACATGATGACGATAGCCCTAAGTACCTCTCGCCAATTAATGTGTATATTAAAAATAAGAATTTAATAAGGCCATCTTACGCTAGACTAAAACCCACATTAGTTTTAAGTTGATATGACAGCATTGATGGGGTATTTTATGTAAATACTCTCGATGAGTGTTAAAACCAATGTAATTGATAAATACACGTGGAACTGTTCGCCATGTGCAAGATTTTACAGCATCGAATAAAAAGAAAATGTATTTATTCATAAGAATATAAATCTAAGTACCTATATGAACATTGCCCTGAAAGGGGTCAGGGTAAGTGCGAGATACTCTGACCTTTTGTGATATTGAAATTCATGTTATCCTAAAAAAATTCCATCTATCTAAACATCGATAGTGAGAAAACATGGAAAAACAAATGATAAGCGACCTAATGAACTGAATAATCAATGTAAAATGTAGTAATAGTATAATATAAAATGATACGTATAATATGCTGTAAGAATATTTCATTATTTTTAACACAACTAATTGGGTGGATATCTTCCAACGTAAACTGTATTTTTCATTACATATATAAACAAGAAGAGACAAATATTGATGTACAGCAATAATGCTTATGAGGTCTAAAAGTAAACTTAATAAAATATGAAAAACAACAACAACAAAAAACAAGCTCATATTTGAGGAGTAATCTGAATTCTGAAGGTCTAAGGCCGGTTTCAATATCCATTAGATTTTCATAAATCATCAACGAAAAGGTTCAGCTGATGATTCCTGAGAATCTTGTGGTTGTTAATTTGATGCCCGTCTTCAGAATTCGGCCTACCCTTCTTCCTTTTCAAACTGTTGGGTTATATTTTAACTTTCTTAAGTAATGATTATAACTAGCTATTTACAGCTAAACAGCTACGAGGGTTGTCCGCAAAAATTCGTGGCCCGACCTAAAAAATGATTTTTCTCTGATAGATATTGCGTTTGAACATTTTTACGAGTTAACAACGCGTATAAGTTAATGAACTTATTTTATGTATTGGAGATTTTTGAAGGAAAGAAGTGAGCAGTGTTAAACGTCATGGAAAAGAATGAACTTCGTGCCAAGATCAAATATTTTGATAAAAAGGAAATGATACCGCAAGAAATCCACAAGGACATAAAAACAATATTAGGTGAGGGCGCTCTGGTATATTCAACAGTGAAAAAGTGTTGTACTGAGTATAAGCATGGTAGATAATCATGTGAAGATGATCCTAGATCAGGTCGGCTCTCGAAATCAACCACAACAGATGTCGTAGATAAAGTTCGTGATTTGGTTCTATATGATAGAAGAATTACTATAAGGAGGTTAACAGAGGAAGTGGAAATCGGTAAAAGTACTGTAGCAAGCATTTTGAGTGACAGTTTGGGCATGAGTACGATTAGTGCCAGATGGGTTACAAAAATGTTGTTAACTGAGAAACGGATGGAAATTGTTGAAACCCTATGCCTACTCCAAAGGTTTCAATATATTTATAACTATGAATGAAATGTCGGTTTACCACTTCAACTTAGAAACAAAAATACTAATTTTGCAAAGGAAACTCCCAAGTTTATCCACCCCCAAAAAGTTCAAGTCTCACATCTCTGCTGGGAAGGTTATGGCATCAATATTTTAGAATCCCAATGGCATTTTTACTAGTCGATTATTTGAAAAGTGGTCATAGCATTACAATAGATTACCATGCATCCTTAGTTGACAATTTAGGTCAATAAATCAAAGAAAAGAGAAGTGGATTGCTCAAAAAGGTGTGCTCTTCTATCAGGACAATACCCCATCTCACAAATCACATGCTTCTTTGAACGCTATCCATGACGCTGGCCTTGAATTATTCAATCACCGCACTTACACACAAGATTTAGCTCCAAGTGACTTTTTTCTCTTTCATAACCTTAAAATATTTCTGAAATGTTGATGATTTCGTGCATACCATCAAGTCAGGGGCTGAGGATCAAAAAGAAGAGTTATTTCAGAAGGACATAATGACCTTAGAGCACCGCTGACGAGAAGAGTTCTTTCAGAAGGACATAAAGGGTTTAGAGCACCGCTGGTGAGAATAATTCTTTCAGAAGGATATAATGGCTTTAGAGCACCGCTGGTGAGAAGAGTTCTTTCAGAAGGACACAATGGATTTAGAGCACCGCTGGTGAGAAGAGTTCTTTCAGAAGGACATAAAGGGTTTAGAGCACCGCTGGTGAGAAGAGTTCTTTCAGAAGGACATAAAGGGTTTAGAGCACCGCTGGTGAGAAGAGTTCTTTCAGAAGGACATAAAGGGTTTAGAGCACCGCTGGTGAGAAGAGTTCTTTCAGAAGGACATAAAGGGTTTAGAGCACCGCTGGTGAGAAACGTTCTTTCAGATGGACATGAAGGCCTTAGAGCACTGCTGGTACAAGTATACAGACTCAGGAGAAGATTATGCTGAAAAATAAATCATAGTTGAACCAATGTCTCTTTTCTTTATAGGTCAGGCCACGAAATTTTCAAACCCCTCTTGTATTTTAAGAATTACAAAATAACAATATACTGGCAGCAACAATAAACATTAATTCGAAAACTGTAGAACATATGATAATTATGAAACATTACAATAATATTGTAAAGTCTGTAAGAGTTTCCATAGCTATCGCTGATGACATATATTTTATTTCTTCACTTTTAATACGTACTTTAAACCAGCAAGAATCTCCACAGTAGAACTAAAGTTACCAATGTTCCAGCAAGAAAGAGACACTCTTAAAATACAAGATAACATCATCTTTCTTTCTTCATGTGTGGGCTGAGAGATAATCACATGCGTCACCCACGAGCTTACCTACCAACAATGAATCACAAATTAAAATCACAATGAATGTGTCAAAAGTAGCAAAAGACATTTTATTAAGTAACATATATCCACAGATAATAGTTTGTTCATAATTTCTTTACAAACCAGAGATATATCATGAAGATAACATACGTTTCTTTTCAAACTGTCCGAGCTCTAATTCCATCACACTTGCTAGTACCTAGATGATCTATTTGGCTAAGATGATCCCTTTCTCACCTTCTCCACCCTCTCAGTAAAGGGATTAACGTAAATCCTAAGTTAAGCTTGTTTCAAACGGACTGTGTTGGTTCTTACATGATTATACTTGCTAGTCACCAGATAACTTATTCGGCTGAGGTTAACTCGCCTCAGGGAAAAGATTGAATGTTAGCCCTAATGTAAGTTTATCCAACCGGCTAAGTATTTAGTATAACTTATTTGCCCAAACGGAAACTATGCAACGGACTTAAATTCTCATGATCACATAACGTAAGCTTGATTCCTTTCTAACAGGATATGATTTTTTTCTTCACATTACCCACAATGTAAATTTGCTCATTTTAAGATATTTGGAAGGTAAGGTAACTTAAGCATGATACTATCACTAATGATAATGCACTTCCGCTGAGACAGAGGTAAGTCTACACACTTACAACCCTAAAATCAGGGGTTTGATTCCCCTCGGTGGACACAACAGACAGCACGATGTGGCTTTGCTGTAAGAAAAATACACACACTAATGATAATATACTACTCCTAAAAATGTTTACAGATACATTGTTATTTAACCAGATGAAGTGTAACTCTGAAACTAGAGGATATTTAAAAGCATAATTTATGTACAGATATACAATTAGTGAATCAGCTCCGTTAATAATATTTCATCAGTCAATATTCGTGGTACCTGAATACCTTAGAATTTATAACGGTCAGAGTTAAAGTTTGGAATGTATATAATCCAGCTGTCTGAAAGAATTACGTATGACAAACAAAGAAATAATAATGCTTTGAGACTGCTTGAATGGGTAATAAAGAAAAACTTTAATATAAATTTAACATAACAGCAAATGTACAACGTTTCGACAAGGTTTTGTCATCATCGGGTACCTAATTTTATTGACCTTCACAAATTTTGGAACTAGCTTTTCAGAGCGGCACTGTCTGAAGAAG